GGTGGAGCGGCGTCACGACACGGTGAATCATCCCGGGATGGTAGAATCGACAGCAGCTCCCACGGTTGCACGTCCCAACGATAAAATGACGACAAATATTCTTTCGGTACATATCGGCCGGGATAAAGCCGCCGCGACGGGCGCGGTTGTTATCATAGGAATTGTTCGTTTCCATCCCATTCAGTAAGGCCTCAGGATTTGGCTTTAGAGAATCTTTAGAGAGCTCTGTCACACCCAACTCCCCAGATGACTGCTCAAAATCATTTTCTGATGATATTAAGAGTCCAATGTCGTAGGGGGAAATATCTACAGCAGCAAAAAAGATAGTTCTTTCGATTTTTACAGGTAAAAAGGGATTATTTGTAAGGATATTTCACACATTTTTAGACGTTCAGGTTAAGTGGTGTGAGATTGGTAGTGAAGTTTTTGTAGTACATACGAAAGATAATTTATATATATTTTTTTACGCTTATTAATATTAAAAAAATTATACTCAAGTATTTTAACCCTCAGTTTAATATTATTATATAACACCTTTTACAAGTTGTTAAAATACCTATCGAACAAAATTTATATAGATATAGACCGATAGTAAATGTTTTTCTTTTTTTTCTAAAGTAACAAAGGTTCTAAATACACAGAATATTGGTGAAATTCAATATCTTGTGATTCATTAAATAAGTTTTATGCGCACAACTAAAATACCGACACCTAAAAAGAATATGAGTCAAAAAAAAATTTCAAATGCCAATTAACAACGAATTTTTTGGCTCCAGAATTAGTTACTAAGATTTATGTATTGAAAATTTTTCATTTTTCCCTCCTCTTTGGGGTATAATTTTTGTAAATATTTCTGAGAAGAAAAACGGAGACATTTAACGAAAAAAAGCAGCATTATAATTGCTTTAGAAACTAATGAAAATTTATCACAGAGGTAACCTTTTCGTCACGGATCTGCTGAGTCTAACCTATATTCTTTTCTGGATATATAATTAGAATTGAAAAGGTCTAAACGTTATGTAGACCGAAAGGATAGTCGTGCATAGGAGAAAATAAATTACTCACTCAAGCCTCCTATAAAAGAAAACAAATGAAGATGTTATAAATAATAATTTTTATCGAGCTACTCAAAGTTTAAATGCTTTCTTGATTTCGTGGGCAACACCATCCTCGGAATTGGTGCCAACAACCACAACGTCATTTTTTAGAGTCCTCTTTAGTTCCTCTGTGCTGTTGCCCATTAGGCACCCTCTGGCAGCCTTGACTAACATTGGCACGTCATTTTCATTATCGCCGAAGGCAATACATGTCGATTCTACCGTCCAAGGTACCTCGCTTTCGCTCTCGATCTTGCCGTTGGCCTCTCGCGCACTCTGTTTCGCTTTAGCGCAAGCCTGTAAATGGGGCATGAGAGACTGCAATCCGGTAAACTTTGAAACATCCGCATCCACGATTTCCAAGAAACAATTGCTGGAGAACGAGATACTGAGAGAAGGAATCTTATCCTGGATACGAGACTTAATTGTCTTTAACAGCTCATTGTTTTTGGATGATAAGAAGAACTTTCTTATGCCACCAAAGGGGTTAGTGAGGGTTAGGTTGCTGTGCCCAGCGGTTAGGGTGTCATCGGGGAATTTTTTCTTATTCTGTTCTTTATACAGGTTATAAGCTTGGATACTCTCCAATGGGTTAAATAGTTCATAGTGATACCCACTAATGCTGGAGTATTTCAGAATTTCCTTCTCTTCCATAGCACAAATCCAGCGATCATCCTGATAAATATGAAGGTTTACTTCACATTTACCATAATCCAACCACATGGAGATAACCTGATAAGCGTTTTCTGGTAAAACGGTCGCATTCCTTACTTGAATCAAATCATATTTCTGTTTTTCACTTGAGATTACTTTTTCTTCCTCGTTTTTGTCGTCTTTCCGATCGATCAGAGTGCTGGAGTTGAATGCATAGACACAGGCACCATTGCACGATACAATAGATCCGTTTTCCTTTGGGAGCTCCAAACTGTCCAAAATAGACTTTAAGTCAGGGTATTGTCTTCCAGAGGACAATGCAACGAACACTTGTGTCGGGTACTTCGCCACTACATCCTGTATCGTCTTCTTTGTGAATTCCGTGATTTCGTGTTCTGGATTAAGTAGCGTACCATCCATGTCAATGGCGATGACATGGAAAGGGGGTAAACCTGGAGTAGAAATATCAGCCATTTTTGATTAATAATTTTAATGTTAGAGAATGGCAATAAGTAATCTTACTAAAATCTGTCCCATTATTACGATATGTTGTAATTTCGATAATGTGTTTTGTTTTGAGTAGTAAAGCAAAAATAAAGTATCACAATATTAAAATAAAGATAACAAAAGAAAGAAGCGGCCATAAATGAATCAAAATCATGTAAATAGATCTGAAAAGGGCATGAAAATATAGGTTACTCAACGAAGAAACAGCTTCGTTGTTGTATATATATATATATATTGGATAATAATAATAAACCAAAATTAAGTCAAATCATATTGTTAACAAGCGAAAATCATTCTCCCTCCCAGGTCAGCACGCCGAGATCGCATGCCCCGAGGTCAGGGAGTTTGTGTTTCTGTCCTTTTAATTACTCCTTAGATGTCGCTGATGGACCATACACGGATGAGATTGTCGGTGTAGCCAGTATAAAGTGTGTTGCCGTCCGCAGACCAGGCGACGCAGGTGCACTCGGGGATGCGCTTCGAGGTGGTCTCGGGGGTGAGCTCGATAATCACCTTTTTCGCCTCCAGGTCGTACACGCGGACGTTCTTTTCGGTTGCCACACACATCCAGAATCTGTTCGGCGAGAAGGCGATCTGGTTGATCGCGGCCTCGACGTTAACCTCGAAGAGGGACTCACCGGTGTTAATAGCCCAGAGGCGTGCGACCCCCTCCTTCCCACCCGAGGCGCAGAGCGAGCCGTCGGGCGAGACGGTGACGGTCGTGACGAAGCCCGTGTGGCCCTCGAGGGTGTGGCGGCAGCGACCCTCGGCGAGGTCCCACACCTTGACCTTGTGGTCCCAGCTCCCGGACACCACCACCGGCCGCTCCAGCGACGGCGAGAAGCACAGGCTGCTGACCCAGTCCTCGTGGCCGTCGCGGGTCAGCTCGTGCATGCACTCCCCCATCACGTTCCACACCCGCACCACGTGGTCGCGGCCGCCCGAGACGATCTGGCGGTCATCCGGCGAGAAGGCGACGGCGAGGACGCCCTTGGTGTGCTTAAGGAACTTGTGCTCGCACTGACCCGAGCGCAGGTTCCACAGCCGCAGCGAGTGGTCCCAGGAGGCAGTGACGGCGAACTGGTTGGTGTGCGCCAGGGACAGCGAGGCGATGAAGCCCGTGTGGCCCTCGAGCCGGCGGTCCGGGAGGGCGTGGTCGCTTTCGCTGCTGTGCCGGTCCGGGTTGGCGACCCACGAGATCGCCGTCCCGTCGCGCGAGGCGGACACCACCTTGATGGTGGAGTCCGCCTCCTGCGGGCACGCGAGGGAGGTGATCCAGTCACGGTGACCCTTCAGAACGCCTTCGTAGATCATGGTGGAAGTGAAAGACGGAAATAATGAAGATCGCTTGCTATTATTTAAGGTGTAGAGGATGTGAAAAGAAACAAAAGAAGGTCAATATTTGATCGGAAAGTAAGTTTTAAAAACACCGACAGACTAGGAATAAAATATTAGCAATTTTTTTTTCAATGCATAAACAAGCAATTCTCTTCATTACAGAATAAAATCCTTATAGATATCACTACGCATTGGTAGGTTTAGTTCCTCATCAAAGAAATACAGAACTCATCTTTCTCTCTTTAATGTTGCTCTAACTACTCATCTTAATATTAGAAATCTGTATTTGTACTGATTGCACCATTTCGATAGTATCGATTGAAATTGAGTCGTAACAGTAAAAAATTTAGAAAATCAAACTGTAAATGCTGCTCTTCCAAAGTTGTAAGCAGCGCAGACATCTCACGATGAAAATCATCGGTGAGACTCTGGTATTGTTGTTTAATAGAGACCACCTCACCAGACCCTCGCTCAATGAGAGACGTCAGAAGCGCCTGTGATCCACAGTACTCCCGAACAATAGTAATAATATTCTCAACGTTCACTCGTATTGAGGCGCAATCGTGGTGCAGAAGGGAACGCTGGAAAAGGTAAGCTAAATAAGCGTGGTGTGCAACACGGATGTCATCAAGTGAGGTGCAGCGACTAATAGCTTTCTGCATCAGGTCCCAGGCCACCATCGACACTTCAGATACAAGATAAGACCAGAGATTGATCACGAAATGGTTTAGTTGGAGCCCGAGGAGATGAGCATCTGCTGCGACTTCGCACCAGGCAGCCATTTCTTCTGCACCCTGCTGCTGAAGAACACCAATAGCGCGATCGATAATTACACTTTGCCGCCAGGCCTTCTTGAGCGACACTTCCGCAACTTTAACCTTAAAAAGGATGCGAAACAACTGACGGTACATCTTTGCGGCTACTGAATCAAAAATATTACTAAGCGGTGATGAAAGTGGCATGGTGATAACAAAGGCATCCCATCCTAGCTTGGATTCATCTTTAATAATTTCGCAATGTAAAGCAGTGAAGCGGTCGGTGTCTAAGTGTCGAGTGTACGGTGCAATCTCAAGCAAAGCGCTTGACATTTGGTCCCGCACCACAGACACATGAATAGTATGGCTTAGTTTAGAAAGGATTGGTACTAGCTTGGGTATGAGAATCTCAAAAAATCCCCCATGGCCTACTAGTAAAAAAGCGCTCACCATTCGAAAGGTGTCATCTAACTTGAATTCTTCCCTTAGATATCGCAAAACAGCTGCGTTACTGTATGTGAGCGCGTCGGATACAACGCTTGGGAGGGTTTCAAAGGATACTTGATTGGCCTCCGCAACAATTCCAGGGTCCATACGCCATTGCTTTGCACGGCAACAATTGTATATGAAGCAGATATTTTTTAGAACTAAAAGTACGTCCTCAGCTACCGCGCGAGATACTGTTACAGGGAGCATATTACGTGAAAGACTGAATTTACTAGTCCAGAAGTTGTCCGAATTATCATTAATTTTAGCGTTCGAAACGATAAAAAATTCGTTAAATGGGTCTGTTACTTCCCCACGGGTTATACAAACAACGGTCATGCGCAGTAGCGGACTGATTGCCTCTGTGTAGATATCACGAAGAAGTGCAGACAAGCGATGAGAGCCTTGTTGAACCCGCCTCCGCAACACTGAGGCCATTTCACCCCCTTTAACACACTCCGTTTCCTGGAGTATATGATGCATAACCCACAGCTTGGGGTAGACCCGCTGATGTACCACCATAAGATCGCCCAGAGTAAGGACTGGGGTTTGCCTCTCACGTATGGTGGATAATAGGTAGTGATACTGTGTTAGCTGCCTCCGTAGCGCACTGCGCAGACTCTGCTGAAGAAATGATTGCTCCCCTAGTGTTCGGCTAAGAGACTCTTCTATGCTGCGCGCCAGTACACCACACGACTGAAGAAGTTTTAGGACTTGAAGTTGCTCTTCGTTGCCACAATTGGGATTCATCTCGTAACATCCCATTGAAGAATTGTAAGTGATATGTGTTGTCTGATCAACCCCCATCCACATAAAGAGTATATCGGAGAAAAAGATGGCATCATTCAGTGTTTTATGTTGAATGGATGTAGTTCTGGTTGTATTCTCCGTCATGCCCTGAGGGATGTGCGTAGAGGTTATGTTTTGCATTGGTAGACACTCTTTCCTAGTAGAGTCGGACAGTGAACAAGTAGCTAAGCCAGTTTCAGTAACAACGTTCTGAGTATTATTAGTAGAAGGTAAGGATATTTTATCAGCCATTGCGGAAAGTGGTGTTCGTTTAGCCCCAAAAAGACGTCCTGGAAGTTCAAACTCACCGTTAAGTTTTCTGGGTTCAGTATCTACAACGGCATTAACTGACAATGCGTGAGGAGAGGGAGAAATATTTGACTTTGTGTTTGTTATAGAAGGGGTGAGACGTCCGGCCCTCACAGCTGTGGCTGACACCAACGATTCTTTTGCAGAAGACAATGCCACTGTATAAAAGGGAAGAGTATTCTGTGGTTGTGTCGTTCTATCGGGTGAAGGGTTATGTGATAATAAAGGGCAATTCGTGATAGATCTTGAGATGCTGCTAGGTTTACTGGACTCTAATACATTGTGAGAAAAGAAAGTCTCAGACTCGGCCATTAGAAAAAGTAGTACTAATTCTATATAGAAAAGTCTATCCTAACTAACAAAATAAATATCTATAAAAATAAATCTAAATAAAAAGGATAATTTAGAAATTAT